ACAACAACAACAACAACAACAACAACAACGAACAGCAACAATAACAACAAACAACAACAACAACAACAACGATACCTTCGCTATCTGCCACGAGTCGCTCTGCCATCGCTGGCAGTCGGAGTTCTTCCAGTAGATCCCTCTCGGATTGATATGCATCTTCTTGACGTGGTCCCCCCATCTGCGACACACGTTGCACTCAGTCTGGTGCCGCTCATCAGCCTTGTTGTTGTCGACGAACGGACAAGGCTCGGGTCCTAGTGTTTCTAGCAGCTCGGCGTGCCAGCGTTCCATCTCAGCTGCGTGATGGAAGCGTCAGCTTAATTCATGCGGCTTATCTAACGCGGCTGGGGCGTAGCTCCATCTCACTCATATAATATTCGTAAATATTACGAAGGAACTATAACGCGGACGGAAAGAGACAAAGTTGATCAAATAGACAGATCAACACTGTGGATCGCAGTAGATAAAGCTTCAGGTTTGCAACTATCTAAAGAATAAGGGAGATAATTCCAATACGGATTGGCAGAGATAAAGAATCTAAGCTAGTCAGATCCGGGCCGAAGGCTGAGGAAATTCCTAAGGGGGCAACATTTCACGACTCAACTATGTAATGATGACCGACTGGCGCAGCTCTTGATCGACGTCCATAGCGTGGTAGGGGTGGATCAGAGATACGGCTTTCACGGATAAGTGACCGAAAAAAATCACGTTAGGGTTATTTACGATTATTATCTAAGCTTGCTTTTTAATTTTGCTTCAAAATCTAGAGTGGGCAGCTGCCCCCCTTTCCCCAGAGGACACAGCCCAACTTTACAGTCCCCTTAGCGGAGAGCTGACTAATCGCTAGCGATTTTAAGGTACAGTTCGCGGTCCGTCTCAATGACTTCCTTCGTATTTAATCGTCTTGTTCAGTTTATAGTGCGGTTGCGTCGGCATGGAAAAAAGCACAAATCATACAGCAGTACGCCGCGCGATACACAAGTAGGGCGCTCCGGACAAAAAATGATTTTCCGTATCGCGAAATTCCGTAACCAGAATCTGTTTTTTTAAAATTGACATTCATTGAATGATGGTAGATGCGTTCCTACGAAAGGATTTTCGGCTGCAACATCCCCCGACCTTTCCCGATGTAAGCACAAGTATGATTGCAAGTAAAATTATATTGACTATTTCACGATGTGATGCAGAAAAGCGTTGTACTTTGGAGTACACTGGCACAGTTACGCGCCAGGAAACACTGTGATAGATAAATATAAATTATCTAATGATATAACAAATATATAGGCGAGTTCTTTTACTAAAAAACGCCCGTTTTCATGCTCCTCTAAAGTTTACATAAGAGCGAAATTTCGTTTCGTATCGTAAATATCGCGAGTGAAGTGGTCAAAATTTACGCGTTAATTAGTACTTAGCCTAGACGATTGTATAGAGCAAGGGGGTGATCTTTGCCGCCCCGGAGGAGGGGGCACTCCATATATATTGCATGGTAGGTATTAAACCAACCAGGCTGTGTGACTAACGTCAATATACTAGGGTCCCTAATCCTAGCAAAAACCGTTTCTTGGAGCTAGGTAGGTATGTGCCGCGGGAGAGACCCCCATTTTCAACCCTAAACTTCCGTTCCAGTGCATCGCATTTTTAAGA